ATTGCTTTTATAAAGGATTAATATAATATTTTTAATGTAAAATTTAATATTAAAGGTTAAAAAAATTTGATTTATTGAAAGTATTTTAATTATAAGCACAGCTTTTATTACATTAATTTGATATTTAATGAAAGATTTTTAGTATAAAATATCTTTAGAAATTCTTTAAATATTTTAAATTTAATATATAAATTACATAAGACACAAAAATTTTTTTATCTTCAAAAAAAATAGTTGAACTTATAAAATAATTGTTACATTAAATATATGAGTTTTATATCTTCTATAATATTTTATTAACCATAAAAAGATATAATCTCAAATAATAAAACATAAAAATCTATATATATTTTTTATCTATGATTTAAAATAAACAGATTAAATATGGTTAAAACTACAACAATCAAACAAAATGAATGTTCTCGTGGGATGAAACACAGAAGATAAAAAACTCAACTATGAGATTTTGATTGCTAGAAGAGACTATCACCTATTTTGTAGCAGTAAATCCATTTATTTTTTCCCCCTCTTCTCTATCTTCCCTTTCAAGCCTTTCAGATAAAGTTATACTTAGATATTTTGCTTATTTTCTAAGGTGATTAATGTAGAATGAGTGTAAACAGAATTACACTCTAGAGAAAAATATATCTGTCAACTGTGAGTTGAAAAATTTACCAGTAAAGCTCTATACACTATTTTTATATTTTCTTAACATAAAAATGGTTTGTTTTCTTATTAAATATTGAAATTTATACTTTACTTTAGATTTATAGTATTTTTATATATGTATAAAAATTTTAATTCTTTTATTATTGTTTTAAAAATAAAATTTACAAATTTTCAAGTAGTTTTTTTTCTTATATTTTTTAAATTATTTATAATAAAAATATTTGTTTTTAATGTTTTAAAAATGTTAAAAGTTTGTTTAAAAAATTTTTTTTTTAATTAATTGGTCTTTAGGAGTGAAAAAATCTTTATAATTTCTCTTAATTTACAAAAATTAAATATTTTAAAAATTAATTTAGAAAATTAATAAAATGAATAATTAATTTTATTACTAAAATATTTTAAAATTTTATATTACGCTTTAGGAAATTTGTTTAGAATTGATCGTATTCCTATTATAAAAAATTATTTTATTAGTAAATTATTTATAAAAATTCCAAAGGCTATAAATTAGCAATTTATAAAAGGAATATTTCAAACATTTCAAATGCTTTTACATAAACTTTTACATCATTTTAATACATCAAACTAGATCAATAAAAACAGAAATTCCTCTTAGTGATGACTTCCTTACATAACTCACTCATTTTACAGGAAAGACGGAATTGCAGGAGCAACATCAAATTTTAAACTTGTATATTTAAAAAAAAAATTATATTTTTTTACTACATAGCCCGGAGAATACGATAAGATATTATACATTCGTCTCTAAATATTCCAAAAAAGGGAAAAAGCATCGCTTGAATTCATGATCATTACGTTTTCTGCTTGTCTGATAAGGACTTTCAAATGCGTTTGCAAAGTACTGTAATATATAATATCAGCAACAGCATCAATATACGAACAGAAATGGGTAAATATTGTAAATGCTAGTGGAAACGTCACTTCAATTACATTATTATGTTTAGGATAGTTTCTAAGCTTCTAAAATACTATTCCGTTAGGAGAAAGAGCTTTGCTTGGATATTTAATCGTTTAGAAGGTGATATGATTGAATAAGGGAGAGTAAGAGAAGATATAAAGGTAACTCAGCCGTTTCTCTCTTATCTCTTTTACTAACTTTATACTCTAGGAAATTATGTATCTTCGGACTTATCTGATTAAGAATGAAGTTAGTGTGTTCGACTGACTCTCTTCTCTCTCATTTCTCTCTAGGAGGGAACGTTAGACATAAAAGATAAGTTTTTAGAATTTAACTTTGCATTTCCGATTGAGAAATGACAAAGAGTTGCTCGAATTAATTTTTAAAATTCAGTTTTTAATATTAATAAGAAGGGAAGTTTGAAAAAAAAAATTCTACAAAAAAAGTAATGAAAGTTTTCCTAGAAAATGGAACGTTGCACAAGAGAATTGAAGAAGAGAAGGATTAAAAAAAGAGGGGAGTTAGAAAATGCAAAAATTGTAAAGGAAAAAAATATATATATTTTGAAATATATGAAGAAAATATCAGGAATAGGAGAAAATGATATATAAAGTGAAGAAGAATTTGAAATGAAAGAGCATAAAATAATAAAAATAAGAATAAGAAAGTGGTTAGATGAAAAGGATGGTAGAAATAAAAAGAAAAAAAAGGAAGAGGAGCCTAGAAAGGAAAGAGAGAAAGAGGATATATAAATGAAGAAGCAAGGAAAAATGACAAGTGAGGAAAGGAAAAAATGCCATAAAAAAGAAGAGAACATAGAAAAAAAGAACATTAGCCCATTGAAGGAAGCCACGAGAAGGAAGAGATGAAAAATAGGTTTTTTTTTTTAAAGAAAAGTCAAAGAATAATAAGAAAAAGAGATAAGCATAAAAGGTAAATTAAGTAAGGAGTAACATTATTATTGTAATTTTAAAAGGGATGAATATTATATAATACTAAACACAAGTCGACTTTTCTGAATTCTTTTTTTTAATGCATTTATTAAATAAATCTAAAAGCAAAGTAATAAATGTTAGTTTTAATTTTTCCGGAACTATTATAAAACAATCCAGAATGAAAAATAAACTTGTTATAATCTCAATATAACAACCATTAAAACAAGGAAAGTGAAAACCGTGTTAGTAAAATTACACAAACACTCGCTCTACGAAGACAAACGTGCAATTTAATCTAAGAAGGTACAAATTAATAAAGAAGAGCATGTCAGCCTATACCAACCACTTCATTGCTGCAGATATATGTTGGCTGTCAAAGTAAAGCGAGATTAAGTTACAAGTAGATGAGAGTAAAACTATTTTAATTACGCAAGCGAAACGTGAGCCGAATTCTTGTTTGTAGATAAGAGAAGAAAACTAGGATATATATCTATATATATATATATACGAACAGACATACACACGGACACATTTTGCTATGCATGAGAATGCCAATGTGGCCCGCCCAAATCCAGTAACGTTGCTGCTATTAGAGAGAGAGTAACCACGCCAAATCGCTGTATCCTCACAGCTGGCTTAGTCCTTGGACTATTCCAACTCCTCCTATCTTTTCTAACGGAAATAGTCCTATGACTTCTGTCCAACTCGGCTATTTTTTTTTCTATTTTTAGTTGCCTGGACCGAACACCGCCCTATCTACTTATTGCAAAGAGATGCAGTAATGGAAAATGGTAATTTTGTTTGTGTTGTATATTGTATTTTTTCTCTTTCTGCTGTCACGTCCAGTTGAATGTATCGTGACTTGTTTTCTATTTTATTTTTATTTTTAAACATTGAAGATGATAAGCGTGTTTTTATTAATATTTAATCGATTGTGAATTTTTCAGCAATGGCATTTAAAAAGCGCCATGGGAGTGGTACTTTCTGTCTTTCCAGAATGATTTAAGATGGGATGAAAAGATAATGTTTAATTTAAGAAAAGGAAGAGCTTGTCTTCAAAAATGAGTAAAAATATAAGAAATAAAGTAATGAAAATATATAAAACATGCCAAAACATTTGTAGAAGAGATGAAAATGAAAAATATATGTAAAGGATTAAGTGGTATAAATCTGCATCCATGAGTTTAAATCTTTGACAATTTGTTTAAAATTCACGTCAAATTTATAAATATGCCACGTTATTAATATTAAAAATTATCCTTGAGATATGTAATACATTAGCGAGAATCGGCAGATAAAAATTTTGTTATATTTTATGTAAAATAAAAGATTTTGACTAAAGAAACTGCTAAAAATTTCCGAATTTCTAGATAAAATGTGAAGTATAATACGCAAAAAGTAGGATTTACTTAAGGCCTCGTGTTATAAGAGGGCCTTACACCTTTACATGTATTCTTTTATGTGGAAGGGCCTTTATAGAATCACAAGTCTATCTCACTAAAGTAAACGATCCTTGAAATAAATTTTAATAGCTTTAACTTTCTTTGCATTAAGAAATTTTGATAAACGAAACTAATATTTATCTTGAGTGAAAATTTTGTATGTTTAATGTAATATTTAATAATAAATATCCGAAATTAAAACTAGAAAGTTTGTGTTTTTATAGAATTTATCGATTTTCACTTGCCAAAGCAAGTGAACCGCTTATTAAAGATGCATTTAAAGGGCATTTTTAAAAACTAAATTGGAAAAATAAGTGTAAAAACTACAGAATTAACAATATATTTACAGCATTCTCGCTTAAAAAATAAAAAAAAATTACAGATTAGCACATACCTTGTGTTTAGGAATCTGTTTATTTTCACAATTTTTTTTTACTAGTTACGGTATTTTAAGTAAATTATACGGTATAATTATTTTATTTAATATATTAAAATCACTATCCATTACTCATCAAAGTAGAAAACGCACCAGCAAAGAACAGAAGTTAGACGTTCTTCCAACACTTCTTCTTTAGAAAGTTGAAAATACTTTTTAATCATTTAAGAAGTGGAATAAGGAGGAAGGAAGGGAAAAAATATACAGTGTATATATATATATAAAGTTAAAGTAAAAATTAAAAATATCCGCTTGATTTACTGACCAAAAAATGGAATGTGATGAATAGAAAAATCTGTCAAAATAAATGAGAATTTTATTTGTTGTTAGTTGCATCTTCTGGTAACAGATGTTTGGAAAATTAACTTTGACGAGTCAGTAGAGAGATAGTATTTATCAGATTGCAAAAACATTTCAAAAATGAATGGTATGTCCTGAATAATTTAAAGTTGTCATAAGATAATTCATTTCTTTTACTTGATAAGAATTTCCAGGTTTAATTCACCTAAAAAGTCGTTTTTCCCCCTCCTCTCACTAAATATTTTATCGCTCCACATTAAGTTAATTTAAAAATTTGAAAAAGTTGATTCTTTAATTTATTATTCATTTTTTTAATGTTTCATAAAGAGGAAAAAAAATGTTTTTTTTTTCTTTTTTCTATACAAAATGGCTGATAAGTTTAAAATTCCTTTAATTTTTGATATTAAACCTCGAGTTTAAAGAGTTAATTTTTTAAATAGATTAAAAATGTAGACGAGTTTAAAGTTTGAACATTGGTGTAGAAGAAGATTGATGAAGAAAGAAAAAAACATTTGATGATTTAGAAGAGAAGAAGATGGTGATGGTGATGATTCGTAGATTTGTTAAGCTATTATCAACTTACTTTATTCGTTTTTATTTCAGCTATCATATTTCTTTCTTATCTAAATCATGTACCGGTACATTATTTCATTTTAAACGAAAAAGGAAGATGATGACGATTTAAAAGCTGCGGATCATCATCATCTTCCTGTCCTATTCCTTCTGTAAATCATAAAATCGTCTATTTTATCCCATTTTTTCATAGATTTTCAGAACAGGACTGGAGAAGATCGCGATAATCCACAGCTTTTAAGTCATTATCATCATCATTATATTCATTTTTTTATATTTTTAACTTTTATTTATTAGGAAAATGAAGGTAAAGTTAAGAAAAAGCTTCTTGGATCACCGTAGCATCTTTTTCTTATTGTGATTTATTTCTATTTATAATTAAGAAAAAAAAAATGAAGAGAGATGCAGACGAATGAATCCAAAAGTTAAACGACGAAAGAAGTAAATAAATAAAAATAAAGATAAAACAGGATGAAAAAAGGAACAAAGCGAAAGAATAAAATGACATTTTGTCGAAGAAATAAATGCTATAAGGAAAGGGAAATAAGGAAAAAAGGAAGATGATGATAAAGAAGAAAGGAAGAGAGAAGAGATCAATGAAAAGGAAGGATGAGAAAGAACGATGATAGTGAAAAGAATATGAGGGGAAAAGGAGATAAAAATAAATTTAAAAAAAGTTAAATAAATAAAAATGTAAATGATAAAAGAGTGACTTAAGAGAAAGAAAAAAGCAGCAGATGTAGGAAAATACAAATATACTCGAGCTAAATAACGTTGAAGAAGAAAATAGTTGGTAAATATAATGGGTGATAAACTAGAAAAAATTTAATATTACATATTTAACATTAAAAAGTTTCAATGATGATAAGGTTACAAATTAACATGTAATCGATGGTAAAGCGAAGGATGGATGAAGGATGGATGGTGATCGAAATATAAAAGCATTGTCGAAAGATAAGGATCTATAGAAAAGAATAATTGGATGATGGAAAAGAGGAATGGAATGACTAGAAAGCACGAAAGGAATTAACGAAAAAACGAAAGGAGGGAAGGAAAGAATGAGTGACAGAACGGAACGGAAATAAATGATCAGAGACTAGAGAAAATTAAAATATTTGCATGGAAGAGATAGAAGGACGAGAAAGATGATAAAAATAATCTATATCAGGAAAAGAATATCAAAAATTATTAAGAAAATGAATGGATATTTTAGAGGGAAGATCGTAAAACTGACCAGAAACTAAAACATATTCAATTAAAATGTTATTTAAGAGTTAAAAAATCTTATAAAAATATGAAATAAAAACGTAATTATAAAAGAAAATAATAAATTATTGATTAAAAAAGTTGAATAAAAAATTAATTGATGATAAAATAATTCAAACACGAGTTATCTTCCTTCCCATCGTAGAGATCCTTCTTATCATCTTTCTTTCTTATCCTTCAACCAATTCAATTGAATTTTTTTAAAATTTAAAACTGGAAAGAAATTAAATTAAAACATTTGCGAAACTATTTAAATAAGAGAAATATTTCGTTTACATTAAAAAAAATCACAGTATAAAATTTTAGAGGCGGGTAGAAAAAGCATATAACGATAAATACATAGAGACGATCCATCCAGAGGCGGTCATTACTACAATTAAGTGATACGTTGAGATAATTTGAAGAGTGGAAGGCGTATAAGTTATCATACGATAAAGTGCAATCTAAAGAAACGACTTATTATGTCGAAAACATTGTAATGAATCATAGGCCATTTTCCTAACATCTACAAAGCAGTTTGATGTCGTAAACTTTAGCTACTAAACCATTACGAGTAATAACGGATTTAAACTTTGGAACAACTTGCAGGAAAAATATCATAAATTTACTTCTCCCATTATCGCCATCTGTATAAAGCTACTGTTTGTGCATCCGGATAGTTTTAAAACTTTCTACATTATTAAAGGATATAGAGGATAATACAACGATGCCATTATCTCGCTCTTATCTTTAGTTAAGTCCAATCACGTGATGAGCACAATACAAACGTTTAAATTATAAAATTTCCTTACTGTTTGACGCTTTAACAACATTCCCAATTTAATTTTAATGATTTATACTGCTGCAGTTATAATAATTGAGCCGTTATAGGTTCACGTAATGGTTATAAAATTGGTGAATATTTTGCTCGTTTCATCTTTTTTTCTCCTCCTCTTTGTTATCCTATTGATAAAGTTGACGAATATGGTCAAAAATAGCGGATTGTAGAGAATTAATTAAGTCTAAACGCGTGGTTAACATAATATAAATGTTTAAATTATAAAATTTTGTTACTTTAAAGCTAGTTTGATGCTTTAACAACATCCTAATTTAAACTGATGATTTATACTGATGTAGTTATAATAACAAAACCGTTATAGGTATATAATGGCTATAAAATTGGTGAATATTTTGCTCGCTTCATCTTTTTTTCTTTCCTGCTTCTCCTCTTATTATCCTATTGATCAGGATGCTGAATATAGTCAAAAATAGCAAATTACAGAGACTAGTTTGGTCGTCCTGAAATGTTATTAATATGTATAACTTCCCCTTTATGTTATCTCGACTCGTAATATCTGCAGTTATTAAAGAAACATGAAAATAAATTAGGAGGAAGCAAATGCCTTTTCCATTGGGAGAAAACGATGATAAGTGAGTCAACTATCATTAGTAAAACAAATTTTAATAAATTATCAGTAAACTGTCTCCTTTAGTAATTTTATCAAAACCATTTTACACCTTAAACTATAAAATTTAATCACAATTAAAGCTTTAAAGAACGTAATTATTTAAGTTAAAATCCGCGGATGATAAAAGTGAAAAATTCTTAATAAATATCTTTGTTAATTTTCCGGGACAATTATATATTTTGAGATTTTAATCCTTTATTAATAATTAGGAAATTTAATCTCTTCATTTATAAAAGGATTTAAATTTAATTTTTAAGTATTTTAAAACGTTATTAAGATGAGAAAAATCCTAAAACTCCATTCAAATTGTACCTTCAAGTTGGTTGACTTCCAATTATCCAAGTTGAATCCTTCTCAAAATAGAAGCAATCTTGTTGATCATTGACTAACAGTTGAATTTTAATCCTTATTTAAATCTTTCTCTAAACATTCTACTTTATTGTAACAATTTACTTTAGTTGAACTTTAACAATGTCTTTCTCTAATAAAGCAATGATTCCAAGAAACTAATTTTTGTTAATCTAACCTTCAACGATAGTTTCTAAAAAGGATAAAAGTCGACTAATTTACTTTTCTTAATAACTTATTTTGTTTAATGACT